TTGTTTACTTAGGAAACTCACTAGATAAAATGTCAATTCAAACAAAACCAAAAACAATGTAGAAAAATTAACTGATTTTGAAGAAAAAGGTTTCTTTCAAAAACTTTGTTTATATAACATAAAACACATTAATTCTTGTATATGTTAAAACGCTAAAAAAAATATATATACTTTAGTATGTTGATTTAACTGAATAAAATCAGTTTTATATATAAATATAAATATATATATATATATATATATATATATATATATATATATATATATATATATATATATATATATATATATATATATATATATATATATATATATATATACATGTATATATATATATATATATGTATATATATATTTAAGTTTCGAATTCTATATTATAAAATTATTAAAACACATATATTTCACACAAAATATGGAACAATAACAAACTTTTTAATGTCACACTTCATAAAAAAACCCTTAATATTTACTATGTCCTCCTTTTGCCTTAATCACAGCCGATATTCGCCGGGAAATAGATTCATACAAATTTGTTATAAAATCCTGCGGTATGTTGTGCCATTCTCTTTGAAGTACTTGAAAACATTTTTCAGCATTTCAGGGAGCATGTTCGACCTTTTTCCTGTCCAAGTAATCCCAAATATGCTCGATTATATTCAAATCTTGACTCTGGGGAGGCCAGGTCATCATTTCCAGTATTCCTTCTTCTGCCATTTCATTTAAATAATTTTTTGCCACTCGGGAACAATGTTTTGGGTCATTGTCCTGCTGCAGAATAAAATTATGGCCCATTAGTCTCATTCCGGATGGTATAGCATACTGTCTTAAAATATCCACATAACGTTCCCCAGTGAGTTGTCCCTCTATTTTGATCAGATCACCTACCCCAGATGAAGATAAACAGCCCCAAACTTGTAAAGAGCCTCCTCCGTGTTTAATAGTAGTAGCCCGTGTTTAACACTCGGGCTGATAGGCTTCTCCTATTCTTCTTCGAACATATTGACGTCTTTTCGTTCCAAAAATTTCAAATTTGGACTCATCAGTGTACAGAACCCGATTAAACATTTCCTGGGTCCAATCTTTGTGTTGTTTTGCATATTTAAGTCGTTTTTCTCTATTGCCACGCCGTAATAAAGGTTTTCGAATAGCAACGCAGCCTCGTAATCCTGATTTGAGTAGGTGTCGTCGAATACAAGAAGAGCTAACATTTTCCCCAGTTGCTGTATTAATGTCCTTTGCCAATTCGGTGGATGTTTTTTTCCTGTTCCTTAAAGAAAGGGTTTTTAAATACTTATCGTCTTCTTTTGTTAGCTTAGGAGGTCTGCCACTTTTCTTTCTATTTCCAAGGGAGCCAGTTTCTCTAAACTTTTTAATGATTTCTCTAATAGCAGTCTTCGAATATCCTGTTTTGGAAGAATTTTGGTGCTGCGAATAACCTTCTTCGTGAAGCACAATAACTTTCTGTTTCTCTATTAAAGATATTTTACCCATAGCAACACTTAATTAATCTAAAAATGTAAACTAATAACTTTATTTAATTATTTTTAACTATTCGTTTAACTGTATTCATAAAAAATAACAACTTTTTTAAAAATGTACCAAAACCGATCATTATTGTATTAAATTCACTCTATGACTACATTTTATACTGTTAAAAACTTAAATGAACGAATATGAACCTGAACCAGTAAGAAAAAAATCAAAAATATTATTTTTATGTATTATTTAGATGAACGCTTGGTCTGCAGTTATTATGACAATTATAGTTTTAATAAATAAACAAACATATCCCTCATGTTCCTCATAAATTTTTGTTTATTTATTCAAGATAATATATTCTTTCCACCTTTCTCAAATATTACTCAACTTAAGTATGCCTTAAAAAAAAATACACAAGAAAAAAATTGAAAATACAACTAATTGTATAAGTGGTCTAAAACATATTCACAGTACTGTATATATATATATATATATATATATATATATATATATATATATATATATATATATATATATATATATATATATATATATATATATATATATATATATATATATATATATATATATATATATATATATATATATATATATATATATATATATATATATATAAATAAATATATATATATATATATATGTATACATATATATATGTATATATATATATATATATATATATATATATATACATATATATATGTATATATATATATATATATATATATTTATATATATATATATATATATATATATATATATATATATATATATATATATATATATATATATATATATATATATATATATATATATTTAAATACATATATTTAAATTAAAAGCATTACAATCTCCTTTCAGATACGGAGACCAAACTGGAATAGCAAACTCTAAAAGAAAACAAATGCATGTAAAATAAAGGAAACTTAAAAGTTTACAGTCAAATCTTGCTAATGATTTTTTTACACGACCTAGCATTTGATTTACTTTACCTGATTGCCATGTGGACTTGATCCTTCCATTTAAGATTTGTATTAAAAATAGTACCAAGATCGCTTTTTGATTTCAATTCCAGCACTTAAACACCATTAATAAATCGGGGGCCTTTTTTTGTTACTTGAAGCTTAATGTATGACAACACATTTATTTATGTTAAATCTTAATGGATCTTCAGTCCATTTAAAGGCTCTATAATAAGTCATTTTAAATTTCTCTTACACACAGATCAGAATCCACACTTGCTAAAATTCTAGTATCATCTGGATATAACTTTGTGATGTTTTTCATTACAAAAAATTGTCCAATTGTTAGATATGATTCAATCCGTTGCAAAACAAGACCAGTGATTCCATATGCTTTTAACTTTAATATGAGTCTTTTTATGCACAACAGTACCAAAAGCTTTTTTGAAATCTAGCAAAACAACATCAACTGGTGTACTGTTTTCTATGCATAATGTTATAAAATCAATAGTTTCTAGCAAATTTGTTGTACTGCGCCATCAAATATCATGAAAATATTTTTCAATTTTCCTTTTAGTACCTTACATGGAACTGAAGTGAGGGAAATTGGACAATAGTATGTTGCTGCTGTTTTATTACCTTTTTTTGTAAAGTGAAGTTATGTTTGCAGATCTAAATTGAATTGGCAGTTGACTAGTAACTCAACATCACCTTAAAAATTAATTTAAGTAATAGAGCGAAAGCATTTAATGAATTTTTGAGCAGTGCTGGATGAAGATTGTCTGGACCACAGGCAACTGTTTTGATCAAGTTTCTGAAGTCAATTTAAAACATTGTATGTTATTTCTTCGGTAGAAAGATCAGTAAATTTTGTAGTAATTTTGTACTTTTTAAATTTTGTTTGCAATTTTGATTCAAAGTGTGGTAGTTCACATTGGTCCTGAAAATGTTTGAAATTTCCAATTCATCTTGAGATAATTCTCCATCAGGTTTTCTCAAAGTTGACCCTTTGTTTTGACTTAAATTAAGTTTGACTTTTATTAAGTCTTTGTTGACTCTACACTATGCTGTAGTATTATTTATATTTTTTAACATAAAGTTTTTTTAAAAATAAAAAATATTTTTAAATACATATAAATAAAATTGAAAATAAATAATACATATAAATAAAATATACAAATAAATTAAATTAAAAAAAAAAAAAAAATTATAAAAACAGTATAAAACATTTAAAAAACAAAAACAAACACATTCTGCGTTAAAAGTTTTGCGATAAAAGTGTTAATGGTTTCACATTTAATTAATTGTTTTGGCTTTAATTAATGGCAAAGACAACACATAATGGATGAAAATCAACATAATGTAAAGTCGCATAATTTTTTTGTCAAAATTATCATTTTTTATCTTCTGTATTCTCAAAGTCAACAATTCATAGAATAATAAATAAAAAAAAAGTATATGTGACAATTTCCAGACTGGCTTTTGCATCATAAATTTTAATTTAAAAATAATAAAAGATATTTATGACTCGAATGGTATAATTAAATATCTATGCTCAATCATCAAAATCGATCATCAAAAAAAAAAACTTAAAAAAATAACAATAACTTTGTATTAATTAATAAGATGTCAGCTTAAAGTTTTGCAATACCAATCTTTATATGACCTTTCGTTGCTATAAAATACGGGTCTTTGTAACCAGACCTTACCCATTGTACTACTCCATTTAAGCATATATCCAGTCCAAGGCCTGTGAACATTCGTAAAATAGCATCAATGTCCTAAAAAGTCTCCATTTGCAAAGCTTTAGATGCCATGTCTGCCAATTTTATTAAACCTATTTGTCACTAATCTTGGATTAAGTCTGTGATTTAGGCCCATATTGAATAATTTTCAGCTGATGCAGTGTACTTTAGGCATTCCTTGTCTTTTCCTTTTATTCTTCATCTTTAAAAGTTTAATATAAAAATATTTTTTACTTTTAAATGTTTAAATTCTTATTTAAATAGTTATATTATAAAATACTTTTTATAAAAAACTTTACTTTTTTATAATAAACTTGGAAAATTGTACTCCTTAAATACCACAATCTTAACTACTTTAACCTGTTGTTTAAAAGAAACTGTTTTAAAAAATTTCTCATAAAATTCTTGTAAATATAAGTATTATTTTTTTTTTACCTATGTATTTTATATAGACAAGTGTACTAAAATATTAGGTGTACATGCTATAATAAATGTCTGTCAAGTTATAAAATTACATCATTACATCAAAACCAAAAAATTAAATTATTAAAAGTAAATTTTTTTTAATTGGCTGGTTTTAAATATTCACTTTATTCACATATTCACGCTTGCTTGGTTATTTTGCTTTGATTTTTTATATTTTTTTAGTTTTTTTTTTTGTATTTTGTTCATTTCAGTTAATAATTAAAAGTGTGAACATTTGAAAATTTGAGTAAATCATAGTCATAAATTAATTATAAATTTATTAATGACATTATCTTAAAAACTTTCATCATTTGAAATAACTTTATAGACCCTTCTCACCAATTGAAGTAAAAGCTAAAAACCATGTTGGTGGAGCAGAAGATATTTATGGAAATTTACAAGATATACTGTAAGTTATTGTCATTTATGTTTTAAAAAAAAATGCTTCATGTAGAAATATGATTTTTTTTTTGTTGTATTTTTGTTTGTTTTTCAAATTTTGTACATTTTTACCAGCAAAAAACGAGTTAGAAGTTAATCATTTTAATATTCTCAATAATGTTATATATATATATATATATATATATATATATATATATATATATATATATATATATATATATATATATATATATATATATATATATATATATATATATATATATATATATATATATATATATATATATATATATGTATATGTATATATATATATATATATATATATATATATATATATATATATATATATATATATATATATATATATATATATATATATTTAAACATTTGACAGGTTCCTAATAATTTGAAAAAAAAAGTTTTTTCAAAATATGTCAACCTGGTACTCAAAAGAAGTGATATTATATTAAAAATTCAAAAATATTAATTAATTTACATGAAATAGATGTTTAAACTATTTACAAAAAACTTGGAAATTATGACTTTTTTTTATTTTCAGCTTAAAAACAACAGTTTTTATGCAATAATGTATGAAAAAATTATTTTTATATAAAAATTATTAATATTTTTGAATTTTTTAATATAATTTTGCTTCTTTTGAGTACCAGGTTGACATATTTTAGAAGAACTTTTTTTTTCAAAGTATTATAGACCCATCAAATGGTTAAGTGTTAGGGGCTACCCCTAAAAATATTTTTTATTCAAAAAAATTGTAAACCTAGTGTTTTTGTATTATATAGAACACATTTAGGCTTGTGGAACAGATTTTTTTCAAAAATGTTGTTTTTTGGACCACCCTAATATATATATATATATATAATATATGTATATATATATATATATATATATATATATATATATATATATATATATATATATATATATATATATATATATATATATATATATATATATATATATATATATATATATATATATATATATATATATATATATATATATATATATATATATATATATATATATATATATATATATATATATATATATATATATATATATATATATATATATATATATATATATATATATTAGGGTGTGTCACTTTTTACGGAAATTTAATTATGGTTTTAAAGTTTAGTTTAACAGAAAAATGCGAAACACAACAACAAACAGACAACACACGAAAATGAAATTCTAGAGATTCTACTTTTTGCCAAAGTTCTAAAGTTATTTATTTTGTTATAATTTTGAAAAAGTTCTCAGTTCTAAAATTTAGATTTTTTTTATTAATTAAAATAAAGATGTTGAACCTCAAAACCAGAAGTAAAACTCACAACTTCTTGAGATATCTTTAAGTATGGATTGTATTTAAGGGTGAAAATTTAAAAAGATCACGGAAACTAAACTGTTGATCAGCTTGTAAGAAAATTATTCCAGGAATTTTATCACAGTAGAAAAAAGCAAATGCTAAAGTCGTAAGTCCAGTTATCAATTCTAAACGAAGAGTAAAATGTAAAGTAAAAGAACTATGGTTATTACCTGTTAAAGTTAGTAATGTTAATGCAGCTATATCAATTACAGAAAAGTTTATGGAAAGACTTGTTTAACTTTTTGATTTGTTTACTTGGAATTGTAAAATCAAGTTTTGCATAGAAATAAATTGTAAAGAAAATTGTGACAAAAAAGCGCACATTAAATATGCCTGTAAAAAAGATCAAAAAATTCCTTGCTTTGAATTAATTTTTTTTAGATATCAAAGAGAAAAAATCTGAACCAAAGCTTTGCTTCAGATAGGTGGCATTGATCCAGTTAGCAAAATTCGATAATATTTTAAAGAATGTAGCAATTAAGAAAAAGTTTTGTAATTAATGTTTCATCTTCGGATGTGTTTAACATAACTATACCAAGGCTAAACTTTCCTATACCCATATGCTTTCTGATTTTAAATAATATTAAAAAACCCGTAAAAAACATGTAAATTATTTATTTATTTAAATGTAGCAATTAAGTTTTGTTTAGTAAATTAAGTATATAGCAAATTTATGAATTAGTGATTTTTTTAGTTTTGAAGTTGTTTTTTTTACAAAAAAAAATGGTCATACAGGCTTGGTGAGGAAGCGGGAGCAATCGCTCTCAAATACTGACCATGGAAATTATATTTAGTTGCAAAAAACTGGCCAGGTTTTTTAGTCGTTTTGAGAACATTAAAGTTTATATACGAAACAAAAAAATTTTGTTTAACGGACATACATGGAAACATAAAAAACTTTAATGTTCTTAAAACATCTTGGTATGAAAGAAGAAAAAGAATATTTGCGAACACTAAAAACCCGACAAATTAACCAACAAACTAATTCTATTGGTTCACAAAACACGCTGACTAAGCGAAATAAAGTTCCAGAGTATTCTGTTGAAATGTTTTAGAAATTGTATTATTCACGATTTGTTACGTTTTGAGATTTCTAGCGTAAATTGTTTTAAGAATAAATATTATTTGTTTACAAAAATAAATGTTTTAAATATATATCAATTAAATTGTCAAAATTTTAAAAGTTTATTATAAATTATAGATTTTATTAGTATATTCTTATTTTTTATTTAAAAAGTATGTATTCTTTATGTAAATGTAATTTTGTGTATCTGTTTTTTATCGTAATGTATCTTTTAAAGCAATTTCTATGATTTAAACAAAGACTTACAAAAATAATTGCGTTTTTAATGAAGTTATAATCATTAAAGTTAATAAAACTAATTATGTAACAAACATATAAGAAGTTTCTGGTTACTAAACACAAACAACGCATACAAAGTAACTCGCGGATAAACAAGCACCGCGACTGAGGTCACGACAGAACACAAATATATATAGCAAATAACTAGATATAAAGAAAAGTTTCTAGATATTGGTTTACTTATTCTAAATATTTTCGCTTAAGTTTTCTTAAAACTTGTTATACTTTTTTCTGCTTTAAATACTAATTTTTCTGCTTTAAATACTAAAGCCCACTCACTAAACATCATCAGCGATATTGTGAAGCAGTTTCACTTCCTCGTCATAAAATATTTTTAACCTTTTAAGTTGATTTCTATCTTGTTAATTTAATTATTTCATTTGTTTATCTTACTAAGAAGAATTGCTTCAAATATGTTAAACTTTTCAAACTACGCGAAACATAAAATAGGTATTAAAAAAAATTAACTTTTTTAATTTATAAAATAATTCAGCTTAAATAAAACTAAAACTTGCAAACTTTGTTAAATAAAGAATATTTGTTTCCATTTTAAACAATCGTAAGATGTTACTTTATATAATAAACATCGCTTAATTTTATGAAAAAAATTATAAAAGAGCGTTATTTCAAAAATATTTGTTCTAAACGTAATTTTTTTAAGCTTTAAGTTTTTTTGCGTTTAAAGATATTTTATTTGCCTAATTATTATTTTTTTTTTTTGTAATTGTTTCTCATCGGTCCAATTTATCTTTGCGCTTTTTTTTTTGTTTTTTTAAATGTTCTCAAAATGACTAAAAAGTCTGGCCAGCTTTTCGCAACTAAATATTATTTATGTGGTCAGCAATCGAGAGTGATCGCTCCCGCTTCCCGACCAAGCCTGGTCATAGTTTATTTATTACATTTTAATTGGTTTTTTAGATTGCTCATAGAAAGAACGTTGTCTAGAAATACAAATTTAGTTTATGTGCTGTAGGCGAAGATTATGTTTAAAACGGCAAATTGTTTAACAAAATGAGTAGACAGTTTACATCCGGTTGTTTAACCTCTACGAGAAATTAGAATTAAATTCTTCAGTAGTAGGAGTGGTGATTTTCAATATTTAATTGTAGTATAGTATGAACTTGTAACTATATGTAAATTGATAGAGGGAAAACTAAAGTTGTAAATACTAAAACAGCTTTTTTTTTCTTATATATAAACATTGTTTTGAGTTTGTTTACTGTATTACTGTTGCATCTGTTGCAATTTAATTGCCTTAACTTTTATCAAATCAAAAAAAAATGTCTAACATATCTATAACAAGGCTTTACTTTCCTAATATACTTTCTGATCTTAAATATTATAAAAAAAACCCGTAAATGTATAAATTATTTTATTAGTTAAATGGTTTTAACTAATAAAATAAATTAAAATTAGATTTTATAACTTAATAAAATAATAATTGCGCTTAAAAAAGTGTGAAAACAACTGGCATTTAAAAAGTAGTATTTTTTAACTTTGCTATGCTTGAATAAATTTGAGAAAAAAAAGAAAAAATAAATTGAAAAAAAATGAATGAATTTTCGTTTTAATAAAACATGCAAAACTTGAATTACAGTAAAAAAATTATAAAATAATATTTAACGAATATTATATATTTTTTTACATGTATTTTAATTTGCATGCCGACACTTTAGGATATTCAGGTCGGCAGTTGTATGCTGTCCTAAAGCAAAGATAGGTTGGTTTTTGCGTCGGCGTTGCTGAATGCCAACCTGAATTTCGCTAACTGATTGATCACATTAATACTAAGAAACAAACAAATTTTAAAAAGGTGTACAATAGAAAATCAGACATCACAAATAAAAAAATAAAAAAAAGACCAAGAAATTAGATCTTACCCAAAAGTTACTCAAACAAAGTCTCAGGTGTTCCAAATAATGAAGTACAAATGAATATTTTAGAAAAAAAAGAAAGAACATAACACCACGAATATAAGTAATTTAGCATTAGTAAGCTTAAGGCATCATACAGGTTTAAAAGAAATTGCAGAAATAGCAACTGCTACCCTTATTGATGCTAAACTTATCACAAAAGGTAATACTTACTATATTATTGATCATAACTTAGTTAGATAAGCACAAGAAAAAATTAGAAAAGATTTGACTTCAAAACACTGAAGTGAACTAAACAATAATGGTTTGAGTTGCATTCTTTTTGATGGTAGAAAAGATGACACTAAAATCTTTTTTGATGTGGAAGGTAGGAAGTTTCCAGGGCTAGTAAAAGAAGAACATTATACTATGTGCAGTGAACCTAGTGGAAATTATTTATTTCTCTTTGTTCCTGTAGATTCGGGTTTAAAAAAACCTGCAGAGATAATTGCACATCATTTAATTAAATAACTTAAAGAAAGATCTTTGCAATTGATGTTGGAATTTTGCAATTGCCATAGACAATACTAATTTAAATACTGGATGGACAGGAGAATAGATACAGTGGGTTGAGAAAAAACTTGATAGGAAACTATCAAGTTTTTTTTCAACCCACTGTATCAATAGTATAGGTTGTATGTGACCTACGCATTGGAGACTAGAGTTAACGAAGTCTAATTAAGTTTCTTGATGGTCGTATTAAATCCAGCAATCATTGATCGGGACCACTTGATAAGATGCTGAATAATGCTACAAACCTTGAAATTAATCCACTATTTATAAAACTTTGTGAAACTTCTCTTATCCATCTTGATCCTAAAATTATTAAAAAACTGAGCACTAATCAGAGCTATGCATGTCATATTGTGAAATCAATTAAAACTGGAGTTCTGCCTAAGAGACTGGCATTACTAGAAATTGGTTCTGTTATAGTAGATGGCTAACTACTGCTTTTGCAGAATTGATTAACAGGTGAGCTTTTAAATAAGTTAAGAATGATAGTTAAGTACATTATTGGTGTGTATGTTCCTAAATGGTTCCTAAGCTGGGTGGAGGGACCAATCAACTTACTTGAACAAATGCAATTAATAAAAAATCAAACTCAGGATGTAATTGACATTATTTTACCCACTTTTAAAGATCAGCATGGTATGCTCATTCTGAATCAGTGTTGCAAAGTATGCTCTGCAGTCAAGTTGCAGATGAAAGAAGAGAAACTGTTAATAAAATAGTTGAATTAAGAGGTGCTGGAAATGATGCACTTTACTTCGGAGATCTTTTAGGATTAAATACTTTCAATAATATACTTTCTACTTAGCCTAAAAATGTTTCATCGCTCATGAATGCTGTGAATGCTCATCCATGCCAAAAATTATTTCATGACAATGTAAAACTAGAAGCCATTCCAATTTAATGATGTTTGACTGCTGGGTGTATTGCAAATCAACTGTTTCTGAGTGTGAAAAAAATCTTTCTTTAGTTCAGACTGGTACTCAAGCATTCATTTTTTATGAGATTCTACAAAATCTAAAGCTTGTTCCTGTTGCAACAAGACTGAACATGACTGCTACACAACACGCTGCATGCTGTGCTTATTACAGAGGCTGTAGTAGACTTATCCAAGGTCTCTGCATCATATTCAACCACTGATAAATGATGTTGTCAAGTTGCAAAAACATTACTACCAACTACAGAGATCAGTGGGTTGTTCCAAAGCTGTTGCATTACACTTGGACTCTCTTCATTATGAAACAAAAATATTTCAGAAGAGTGGCTCATATTAGAGGTTGCAAAGGAGCTCAAACTTCTTAATGTTTCAGCATATCAACATGACACAGATCAAAACAGGTGACATTGTAGCAGACTTAACATTTGAACTGCTTTCTTCATGGAAATGTTATGATTTAGTGGTAAACATGACATTCGATACTACAGCATCAAACATTGGGTACGTGACAGCAGTGTGTGTCACAATCCAGCATCGACTAGATAAAGCTCTTCTATGGTCTGCTTGCTGTCATCATGTTGGTGAAAATGTATTATCAAATGTGTTTGATGATCTAAATATTGAAACTTTAAAATCTCCAGATGTTACAGTTTTTGTCAGTTTTCGTAAACACTTTGAGCCTCTAGATTCACCAAGATCAGTAACACTACACTCATCAACATCTGCAACTTTAGAAGTTGTAGAATGATTATCTTGCTTTAGCAGAAATAATTTCAATAAAACAGCAATAGATTTTGTTGACATTCTTCAAAACAGTGTTCTTGAACTCTCACATTTTCAGTAGCCCTTCACAAAGCCAGATGGATGGCAAAATGTCACAACCTGATGTTTTACCAGACAATGCTGTCGTATGCAGCTGTTAATCCAGAGATATCACTAAGTGCAATTTGTACCTTTAAACTTTATCTATGGTACTTAACAACAGGTACCTATTGCTCTGTGAAGTTAGGTTGAGCTTTTGCAGACAAACTTCTTGCAGAAAAGACGATGTTTTGATTACGCCACAACACAGATTTGGAACTGGATTTTGATAGCTGAGATTACCCACTAACGACATAACAATGTCAAAAAGATTAGCAAATCTGGTTGTACCAGAGTGGTGGTTTATTCTTCACTTCTCAGAGTTGTTGATCTATAATGATGTTTTTATTTGGTCAAACTTAACCTCATTTAATGCATCATTAGTCAACCTGAATGCCATTAACATTGTCAATAACTGTGCTAAGAGGGGAGTTTAACTCAATGCAGACCTTTTGGCTTTTTTAAAGGGAGAAGAACATTATCAGAATGTTCTGCAGGTGGGTGAGCAAGATCGCCACGCACCGCCGAATCTCTATAAATTAACGAAATTACTTAAATTTTGCTTTAAAATGACCAATATCTGTGTAAGAGTGAATATCGTCATATCGCTTGAGCTATGAAACTAATAAACCGATGGCTATAATGATATTGCAGTTGGTGTAAAGCATGTTAAAATGGTAAAATTTCAAAATTGATGGACCCCCAAAAATTTATCTAATTCTTTTAAAACTTTGCCATAAATTATTTTTATTATTAAAATAAAATTAAAATAGGCAAAAGTGATTTATACAAATTTTTAAAAATCATGGAGCATTTGATGCACCATATATATATATATATATATATATATATATATATATATATATATATATATATATATATATATATATATATATATATATATATATATATATATATATATATATATATATATATATATATATATATATATATATATTTATATATATTTATATATATATATATATATATATATATATATATATATATATATATATATATATATATATAATATATATATATATATATAAATATATATATATATATATATAGTAAATATCTAATATCATTGCATATTTTTAAAGAGATAAAAAAGCATCAGATTACTATACTTTTGGTGAAGAAGAAAGCATTTACGATCATGTTGAAAAAGTGGATGAAAAGATTTATGACAGTATTATACATCGAGTAAGGTTATAGTTTTTTTGCAAAGTTATTTTAAAAATATTTGTTCTCTGTTAAACTAATCTTTTTCCTTAAATTTTTAAAACTTTTTATTAAATTATTTTAAGCGTATTCTATAGTAAGGTTTTTTTGAAGTTAGTATAGTGGCGAAATATTCTATAGTAAGGTTTTTATATTTTTGAAGTTAACAAGGAATAGTGGAGAAGAAAATAAATTTTCTATTATTTAAACATCCAATAGTAAAATTAGAATGATTTAGAATTTTTTTTTTTAGAAAACAACTTTTTTTAAAAGCAACTTTTTTTAAAAAACAATTATTTTCTAAAAACTATAGTTATTTCAATTTTTTTTCTAATTAAATTGCATTCTTTCTAAAATAACATTGCATTTTTAATTTTTTGTTTAAATAATAAAAATTTAATTCAATTTTTTAAGCGATCCAGTGTTAATGTTGTTGTTGATGATAAACCTATGGATAAGCGAGCACATATTGTTAATGAAATAATCGAAACAGAAGAAGGTTATTTAAAAGCATTAAAAGTCATGGTTGATGTAAGATTAATTTTATTAACAATTTGATGTAATTTTGATTTGATTAATTGTTAGTAAAATAATAAGATAATAAAAAGTTTATAGTAATTATAGTTGAGAATAATTTTTGCAAAAATAATAAATTTTAAACTTTCTTGATTATATAATATTTTTAATACTAGTGACTCACTGTGCAATGTGGCTGAACTGAGGGGACTGATTCTCTACTAGCTTTCTACATAAATAATACTTGCCCACCAAGTTGATTTTTATAGTATTTTTTGGAAATTGGGTTTTAAAGATGTCTGATAATAATTTTAATGATAAAGTTTTTAAAATCCAATTTTATATTCTTTGAGATTTCTTAAAAGAAATCTTAGATATAAAAAATTATATTGCTAGTTTTATAATTTTTATAAGTCTTCCCTAAATATATTGTAGTTTTTTTATTTTATATACAGGTTTAGAATTGAATATATATAGAGCTATGTATATATTTTTATAATCTATATTTAGATTTCTTTTGAAATTTCATCTAGACTTTAATGCCAAAAATGACATTAAATTTACTTTAAAAAACCTTTAAAAAGTGTCAAAAATACCTGAAATTTTATTGCTTCATAATCACTGGCCATTTTTTTTATTAAAATGTGTTACCAATATAAAATTGAAATAGAAGTTAAATTTAAAGAGTTTTGGAACTTTCAAAACAAGTAAACTGCTGCTAATGATTTACATTTTAGACTTTTTAAAGTTTGTAACTGCTGCTAAATAACTGAATTTTAAACGTTTTATTGTAAATTAAATTAGTATAAAAACATCATAAAATAATAATAAAATATATAAGTATAAAAACATCATAAAATTATACAGTAATTTACAGTCTTTTTTTAAATTATAAAACTTTTTTCTAAAATGTCAAGATCTTTAGAAAAAAAGTTACATCACTTTACTATATAAAACACTTCATAAAGTTTGATTTTTATAATTAAAACAGCATTTATTTTAAAATCAATCAATGAAATTTATGCTCAAGTATTTGTTTATGCAAAACAATTTTTCAAAAACCAGGGTTACTCTTTTTTTTATTAAAAACATTTGAAATTAATTTTATACAACTTTTTTTCAGAGAGTTAACTTTTTTTTCAGAGAGTTAACTCAATTTCCAGGCAACCCTAAAAACTCTTTCTTTCACTTCTTGATTTGTGTCTTGTCTTTAATCATAGTCTGTTCTCAGTTTCTTCTTTTTAGGTGTTTCAGATCATTGCACTTCTACCTTAAGGCTGACTGAAATTCTTTTCATGATTTTTTTTGTGATGGTCTTTGGGCTGATGTCTTTTTAATGCAAACAATTTACTGCTAATAATTATACCAATATTGTTAAAATGGAGTAATTTCATATATTGGTTAGTTCTTTTAATAAGGCTGGTTCTTCTGATGAAGGCCCTCCCATATCTAGAAAAGTTTCAAATTAGCATTCTAAATCATGTTGGACCTGCTGTCTACCTTCTAGCAACTGTCTACCTAACTAAATATCTACCTTCTATCTACTGTGTACCTAATTAGCTGTCACCACTTCTTTTTCTTCTTTTTTGTTCTTTAACTCTTTTTTTTCCCTGTTTTTTTTTCCTCACGTGATTTTCCTCACCAGCCTTGTCACGTGATTGCTTGCAGCCTTGTTGTAAGTAAGTTTATAAAAAAAGAATCCAGGAAAGGGTTGAGAATAATTATTTTACAAAACGTTTGATAAAGTTTATAAAATTTGTAAAGTTTGCTAGAAAAATTTTATTACTAGGTTCTAATAATAAAATGTTTTTCAGTTTTATTGAAATTTTGTAATGTTATACTTTTTTTTTTAATTTCTCTGCTAATTAAGCTTTTGTAGTTTGTTTATTATTATATTTAATTATTATTCAAGTTATATTGAAGTTTTCAAAATTACCATTACCATTGTCCATTGAACATTTTTTGCCATGTTTAACTGTGAGAGTTTTAAAAGTCTTTTTACCTCAAATGTTTTAACTTTGTAATTTATTGAGCTACTATTATAGAGTACTGTAAAACTTTACTGTTAGACAAATACAATACATACATTAAACTCAAACTATAAACAAATTATTCTTTTAAAATTTAAAACAATTTTTTAAGATTACTTTTATTTGTTTTATTATTTATTTTGTTTGTAGGTTTATATCAAATCTTTAAAACCGCACATGTCACCTAAGGATAAAGACATTGTATTCATGAACACAGAAGTACATTTTTTAAAATATGTTTTACTTTAACAAATGTTTTATTAAGTAATATTTTATTTATACTTAAGTTATTGAATTTACTTTAAAAATTGTTTTTTTATTAATATTAAAAATTAAGTTAACATTAGTATAAGAAGAGTGTTGGCATTATATGAATATGGTAATAAGTCATAATTATGTTACGACATATCAAATGAGAACTTCAAGTTATCATATTAAACCTTTTTTAAATCTCAACAATTGTCTTGATCACCTGAAGTTTTATTACACTTAAAACATATTATTACATAAAAACTTTAGAATATGCTTCGTTTGCATAGAAAAACTTATGTTCTGGTGGTTATTTTATCGAGCTCGCGAAATAAGGGTCAAGGGTCAACAACCGCCTAAAATGATCAAAATTAGTGTTTTGACCTAACAAAAGAATTCTTGTTGTTCAAGGTTGATTGGTTAAAAAATATTAAATTTTTTTTTTACCATTTATCCGACCAAATACCAAATACTGAAAAATTACAAGTTTTATAATTTTTACAAAATCAGGTCTCATCTAGTTAAAAACCAGATATGTCTTTAGATGACCCCCCTCCCAACATTTCTAATAAATTGGCCTCTAGCAGTGCTGACTTAGGATCGACATTCCTACATTTTTTTTAAGATTTGCCCGTGACAACCCTGGGAAAAGGCGGCACCAAATTGAGCGAAACCTAAATAAAAAAAAAATCAGCAAGAATATTAATAAATAAAAGCTAGTTTAAATTAAAATTATTAGAAAAACAAAAGCAATCAAATTAAATCAAATTTTAGACTAATGTATTTCAAACTGTTGTTATTGCATTAGTTATTCAAAATTTTTTTATTTTATTTTACCTTGAATCTTTGTTTAATATGATTTAGTTTAAAATTGAAAGTTTCAAAAAAAGTTTTATTTACAAACTTCAGTAAGTGTAATGAAACAAAAGTTAAAACACTGAAAAAAAATTTTTAATTGACTAGCCAAGAAAAAAAATTTGCCTGTTAATTCTATGTGTTAGCCGGTTAAATAAACCGCCTACTTTTTTATATTTTGTGCGTTGATTTTATCTATTTATACAGATCTTTAAAAACTTACCATTACTTTGATCAAATATTTATTTGGTGAAAAGTCATGTTGGTCAACAATATGATTGCAAAAAATGACAACTTAGAGTTTTTCCAATTTGTTTATTATCATTTGATACATCAAACTCTATCAAATTTTATTTTGCAGTTAAATTTTTTTGCAGCCTCTTCAAGTTTGAATAAACGTGGCTGTTTTGTGATTCTGTTTAAATAAGGTCCAAAATAAATTGAAATCTGCTAATTTATATTTCTGAATATTATACAACCCTTTTCCAACCCTTTCCCATCAAATACTGCAAACTTTATTTTGATCACATTAGAAACAATAATTTCTGCTGCACAGGGAACTGTATTTATAACTGTCTAATACCCACAGGCCAACAAAAAAGAGTTTTCTATCTGACACCCAGCAAGCAACTTGTTTTTCTCATTGTATTTATCATTTTGATTTCAAGTATGCAATTTTTTCTTTCTGATGTGTCAAGTTCTAAAGATATTTGATTTCAAGTCTCTACTACTTAAGGTAAAATCCGGATTATTGTCAAAAAAACTTTTTTAACTTTTTTTTTTTTTTTTTTGATAATATTTAATTATAATTTTTGTTTTGTTTAGCAATTATTTGCTGTGCATCTTAACTTCAATCGCGATTTAACAATAAGAAAGTCTGGAATGGTGAAAATAAATTACCATGTCTTTACATCATATGTGAGTGGTTGTTTTTTTTTGATGTTTTCTTATTACATTTTATACATATGTAATATATAGGATACTCTCTTAATTTATATATATTAAATTAAAATTATATCTTAAAATAAATAAAATAATTATATCTACATAATTAATTCTTAGGTTACTTAATTCTGCTTACTTAATTCTTAATGCCTTTTTCAGAAAAAGAAGAAGAATGATGATAAAAATCTTCTTTTTTTTACTATAGGATATTCCGCCGAATATTGGAAACTATTCGACCGAATACCAGATTACAATCAAAAAAACACTTACATAGGATTTAAAAAACACATACATAGGGTTTAAATTAACACATACATAGGGTTTAAATAAACACATACATAGTGTTTAAATAAATATTTACATAGGATTTAAAAAAACACATACATAGGGTTTAAATAAACACTTACATAGGATTTAAAAAAACACATACATAGGGTTTAAATAAACACATACATAGGGTTTAAATAAACACATACATAGGGTTTAAATAAACACATACATAGGGTTTAAATAAACACATACATAGGGTTTAAATAAACACTTACATAGGATTTAAAAAAACCCATACATAGGGTTTAAATAAACACTTACATAGGGTTTAAATAAACACATACATAGGGCTTAAATAATTACTTACATAGGATTTAAAAAAACACATACATAGGGTTTAAATAAACACTCACATAGGATTTAAAAAAACACATACATAGGGTTTAAAAAAACACATACATAGGGTTTAAATAAACACTTACATAGGATTTAAAAAAACACATACATAGGGCTTAAATAAACACATACATAGGGTTTAAATAAACACATACATAGGGTTTAAATAAACACATGCATAGGATTTATTTAAACATATACATAGGGTTACATATACCTATTATTTTAACCTTATATTTTAACAAAGTATTATTGGCATATTTGATATTTAAAATCTATGGGTGGTAGTTATGATAGAAAATATTTTCATTGTTTGATGGTAACAAATAATTGAGAGTTTCTTATAAATTACACATATTTTCAAAAGTAGCCATTCACTGTGTACACTGCCACTGGTAAATAGTTTGCTTACTACACCTTGTAAGGGTAAAATTAAGGGTAAATCATTTTCAGTTTGACTTTTCTTTTTCCACATGTGCGCATATTATAAGATTGGTTTGATTGGTTTTATTCACATTTCTTTTTGTTACAAAGTGAAGATAAATCATCATTGGTGCTACTAGACACCGGCAATTGTTCATAGGTGTCATGCAGCATTTCTTTGAGGATTAACCATTAACTGACTTTTTTTTTAATAATTTTTACTCTGAGAAAGATTGTGTGAATGTGTGTGACACTCTGATTGTGATGTGTGACATGATGTGATGTGTGACACTCTGATTGTGATGTGTGACGCTCTGAGAAAGATTGTGACATTTGACACACAGCACAATCATCCTTAAAGTGTTTAAAATCTTTTTTTATTTTGCTTGCTGTGATTTAATAATCCCTTGAAATTAGTTTTGGAATGTGCATCAATAAAAAAAAGCAACCGTGTATTTGACATTCTCATTAAAGTTAAACCATGCTTTATGTTCAGGTTGTAGTGAAGATATCATTTTTATTAAGTTTAAAGTTTTTATCTTTCTGTTATATTTGTCTATAACAACTTCTGAAATTATCTCAGAAATTCAAGAAATACCTAAGCTGGTTATTTTTATAACCGTTGTGGATGGCTTGAAGAGTATAATATACTTTTATGCATAATTATAGTTAAAATAATTTGATGATATTGTATAGTAATATTTATACATTGTATTTTTATATTGTTATTTTTTTTTAATGTTTGCTTTAACATTTATATATTATTATGTATTTATGTAATTAAATAATAAATTATTAATTAAATATAAAAATAGTAATATAAAATTTAATTAAAAAATGAATGAAATCAAGATTTTTTTTTTAAATGCATTTTTATTGTCTTTTTATTGTAAAAAAAAAATACTATCAACATATACAAGTACTTGCTACCCCAAGACTATGTGGTCCAGCCTGCCAAGTTCATTTTAGACAGTCTATTCATAGCCCCTGCACTTATATATATATATATATATTTACTTATATATATATATATATATATATATATATATATATATATATATATATATATATATATATATATATATATATATATATATATATATATATATATATATATATATATATTATATGTATATATATATATATATATATATATATATATATATATATATATATATATATATATATATATATATATATATATGTATATATATATATATATATATATATATATATATATATATATATATTATATGTATATATATATATATATATATATATATATATATATATATATATATATATATGTATATATATATATATATATATATATATATATATATATATATATATATATATATATATATTATATATATATATATATATTATATATATATATATATATATATATATATATATATATATATTATATGTATATATATATATATATATATATATATATATATATATTATGTATATATATATATATATATATATGTATATATATATATATATATATATATAATTTTTTTGCAAAAAAAAAAAAAAAAAAATTTATACTGCTTCTAATTCTTTTCTACACCCCTGAGTGAAATTGATATTATACCTGAGTGATATTAAAACAGTTTTGGTTTTGTTTTAAGGACTAGTATTAGTGCTAAATGTAGAAATCAGATGATTTCATAATTAACCATAATTTCAAAATTTTCTTCGTTTGTTGTCAATATTTTTTTACTTCTTCAAAGTGTATCATTTGGAAAAAAAAGATGTAATTTAAAATTTAGCTTTTCATTCAATGAATAGAATAACATTGCATTGCAAAACATTTTACTGCAGTTTTGAACATTTTTAAACTCTTAACAAAACTACTAATAAAAAATTGTGCATATAGAAAAAAAGTCGTAGTAAACATAGTTTCAGGTAAGGTTTAATACCGGTATTATTCAGTTTTAACTTTTAGGATTTAAATTTAAAGAATTGTTTTTAAATTAAATATAAATAAAAAATCAACATTAAACATTATTTATGCTATAGCTAACATATAAACACAAAGATGCAATCAAGTATTGAAAAAAAGGCGAAACATGTTTGACATCTGAATGTCAGTTGTAGGAGGCCCCTTTATCTTCCTAAATCTCCTATTTCTTTTTTACCTCTGAATCAGCCTCCAACTAATGGGTTACTTCTAAGACATCAATATTTAATCAGTAGTCGATCAAAATGATTCAAAAGTGTTAATGATAATTTTTCTTGTCCTATAGGATCAAATTTTAACATGAAATGCAAAGGAAAAACAACTTTTTATCAGGAAAATGAAGATTTGTGTCTTCTTAGAAAAATAGTGAACATCTGGGAGTCCTGTGGCTTTAAAAACTGTATTGTTGGAGAGGATAAAGTATTATTAAAATTTGTAAAACTTCACAAAAAATGGGTATCAATGACCAAGGGAAAGTTGCTAGTTTGGAAAAATGACAACAAAGAAAAGTTAATTGAAGAATTTCAAGCAATCATAGAGACTCTTTTTGACATTGGAAAACCCAATATTAATGAGCTTATACAACTCAGTCAAGAAACAAAGAGAGTAAAAAGGAAGATTTAGCATTTTTGAAAGATCAGAAAAATGCTAGAAAACAGTTTATAAGCAGGCATATAGATGAGGAAGTTGAAGAAAAGATTGTACGTAGACAAGAGAGATACCGTAAATATATAGATTATAAGAAAAAAATGTCAATAGAGGATGAATGATCATAATGATCAAGAACAACTATTACTCAGATTTCGAAGAACGCTGATGGAAATTTTTATTATAAAAAATTATTCAAATGAGAAAAAATTGATAACTGAATCAGGTAATTTTTATTATAAAAAATTTAAATTGTATATTTTACATGTGTATTGTTACTTTATAGAATAAACTGTGAGTGTGCTTTTTCATTTTCATTTTTTGTTAATATTATTGTAGATCTTTCGAATCTGGGATTGATGGTATATATATATTCTGATGAGGATGAATATCAACAAAAAACATCAAACAACACAAAAAAAAAAAAAAAATTAACAACATACCACTTATGCTTCAATCTGATTCAATCCTTGTCAATAAAGAAATAACTCGAGATGGCCTAATTGCAACTACAACTCCTCTTAAGGACCAGCTTAAGTTACTGAGATCAAACAATAGTTATAGCTAGTATTATAAACTACCTTGGAGTAAATATGAAAAAAATTAAGATAAATAGAAAAACAGTCAGATTGAAGCGTTATGATGTTGTTCAAAATCACGGAAATGAAATTAGACAGAATTACATAGAGGAAATGAGAGGAAAAAATCTTGTTCTTCACTTTGATGAGAAACTAGTTACACATTTGTATAAGGAAATCCAACAAACAGATACAAGAAATAAAATTACTGTGTTTGTTACTAGTCCTAAATTTCAACAAAGGATGATCTTCTTTTAGGAATTGTTCCAAGTGACACAGGTAAAGCTGTTCACTTTACCTGTGTCACTCTGATCAGGCTTTAGCAATTCAAAATTTGTTAGAATATTTTAAAGTTTCAGACCAAGTATTTGTTGTTTATGTTGATACTACAGCAACCAACACTGGTAGGAAAGTGGGTGCAATTATAATATTGACAAGAGTATTTCAGAAACCTTTTTTGTGGTTATTATGTCGACACCATATACATGAAAAACATATTAAACATATTAACAAATCAATAACTAGAGATAACACCAAGGGTCCATGAAAGGCCCTTTACTCCAACTTTAAGAAGCAATGGGAAAATTTTGTCCCATTTTTATCTAATTATGGTGTCTCTTCTAGTTTTAAAAACTTTGATGAGAGTACTCTCATAATTGATTCTGGAATTAATCAAACGTACTTGGAGATGAAAACATATATTAAATTTGCTCTTGAATTTGAGGTTTTTCCCCAAGATGATTACAGACATCTTGTGGAATTCTTAGCTTTTTATCTTAATATTCAGTCTGACAAGATAAAGAACTTTAGAATTCATCAACCAGGTGCCTGTCATGAAGCTAGATTCACAGCAGATGCATTATATCACATGGCTTTATAATTGACGTCGCCAGTTATAAAATACTTAAATTTAGACCAGCAGATTCTAGTTTCTAAAGTTTGTCTAATGATTGCTATATTTTATACTTCACAGTTTTTAAAATCCACTCTTGCTGAACATTTAGTATTAGATGAATTCAATTCATTCAAAGTAGCAAAAATCATAAAGAAGGAATGGGATATTTATGTAGGAACTTCACTTTTAAATAGTTTAAAATCTCACTCCTGGTATCTTTCGCCTGTAACAGTAGTCATGGTTCTTGGTGGTTCTGACTATAAAATTCAAATAAAGTCTGACATTTTGAAGGCCTTGTTGGAACACGAGGTTTGTGACATTAATGAAATTAATAAAGAGAAACTACTTCCTGTTTTAGTAGATGAAAATACCAAACTTTGTGAACTTGTTACCTATAAAAGCTGATTTCTTTTTGTTGTTATGGACTTAGTAAAGGAAACAAAGATTTGGTTGGAAGCATCCGGCAATAAAGAATGTTTAGAGTCAATACCCTTGTACAAAAAGTTTGTCCTTTTTATTAAACAACTCAGTGTCACAAATGATTGTTCTGAAAGAAACATTAGACTTATACAAAAGTTTGAGAACTCTTCACACTCTGAGGATCAGAGACAAAATATTTTGTTAGTTGTTCGAGAAAATCGAAAACTTCAACAAAGAATGTTTATCAGAAAGATTTTGTTAATTTGAAATAGATATTGTTATATAATGCTGTAAATGCAAACAGGTTTTATTTGTTAAACTCTTTTGTTAATCTCAGATCGAAGTCAATATCACTAATTATATTAACTAACATTTGCTTTTTTACATACATTTTTTAGTATGTTGGAAAAAAATGATGAATATTTAAATTATTGAAAAAATACATCTACCTGTCCCAATGATCCTAGTAAGCTAAAATTTTCAATATAATCTAGTATATAGATGGAGAACAGGTATTTACACAGTGTATTTGCACTTTTTGAAAAAAGTTAAAAAAAAGCAAAAAAATTGTCACCCTAATATACAGTTATGTTTTTTTTTTAGAAAGAAAGATTTTTGATATATGCTAACTACTGTACTGATTTACCAACGGCTCAGCAGCAGGTTTTAATATTTAATTTTTATTTAGTTATATTATTAAGTTAATCAAGATAGTTATATATTCTTTTGTTTTATTTGTGAAAAAATGTACACTTTGAACTTGGAAACCTCATAAAAATTAGTTTATAAAAATTACTTTCAATAAAACGATTTTTTAATGGTTAAAAATGTAGTGGAAAAATTAAAATCTATTTACAAATCAGCATATAACATTTATAACATGTGTTATAAATCTTAAATATTCTTATTAAAACTAAATTTCTAAAGAACTTGAACTTTTATTTTAATAAATTTTTTAGATTATAGAGTTGTGCAAGTCTTCTGTTTTTAGAGAGAAAGTGGATGTAAGCAAATTAATTTTCAATTTTTGTAAAAAAATGTTTTTAGAAATAACATGATATTTCTTATTCTTTATATGTTCCGTAATATAATTATTACATTTGCAAATGTTTTTATTTTACTATAAATTTCTGGAGTAAATATTTAAAATATTAAAAACTACTTATGTTATTGTAACTCCTTTGTGTTATTGTAACTCCTTTGTGTTATTGTAACTCCTTTGTGTTATTGTAACTCCTTTGTGTTATTGTAACTCCTTTGTGTTATTGTAACTCCTTTGTGTTATTGTAACTCCTTTGTGATTTAAAAACTCATCTTTTTTTTTTCTTCCTCAAAAATTAGATTTTTCTCTATAGAATTCCAAATTACAGTTTTTGAAATTTTTTTTTTTTTTTGTCATCTTGAATTTTTTGTCTCGCTCTTTAACTCTTTTCTTTGCTTCTGTTACAATTCACAACATAAAAAAATTGGAAGTAAGTGAGTTCGTATAAAAAATATTCTCTCTCTCCTCTCTCTCTCCTCTCTCTCTCTCCTCTCTCTCTCTCTTACCTGCCTACCCCAAACAAACCCTCAGTTGATGTAGCGGCACTTTCTTGTAGCAGGTTATAAGATAGTCAATGTAGCAACACTTCCTTGTAGCAGCAAGCTGTAAGATAGTTGATGTAGCATGTTTACAGTAAAAAAAATAAAAATAAAATAAAAACATTCAGAATGTTTTTATTTAAAAAAAATTAAAATAAAAACATTCAGAATGTTTTTATTTATTAAAAAAAAAAACATTAAGTTTGTTTTTAAAAACATTCTCTAATCTCTTATTTTACATTTTTGTGGTTTTTAAAAAACAATAAATTTTATTAGTTTCCTTTATTAATTTAATGCGTTTTAACATTTCTGTAATTAATTTTAAATTTGTATTTAATTGTATTGCAAGATGTCATAGAGTAGTTAAGTGCTATTTTTTTATATCAGAAATGGTAAGTTTAAGATCTTTACAATAGGAATATATTTTATCTTTTTTACTGATAATCGTGGCTCTAATATCTATTACTACTCTAATACTTTATATACTGACCTTGCTGCCAATAAAGCTCAGAATATTTAATAAAATATAATTATAAATTATATTTTATTATTTTATTTATTTTATCCTAGGAGTTGTAGAGATTTAAATAATAGATAAAAAAAATTAAAAAGTTAAAAAAATCATTAATAGTCTTATTAGCAAAAGTCTAACTTTTTTTTTTTGTCTGATCTTATTATAAACTGCAAAGAACTTTGTTCTCTTGAATAATATATTTCAAATTGAAAAACTTAACTTTTTAAGTTTCCAATTTTTTCAAGAATTCAAACTAATTTTTTTAATACATATTAAAACTTTTTGATTAAAATATTTAACAAGTACTTAACTAAATTTTTTTTTTTTTTTTTTTTTTTTTTTACCTGCTGGAAAACATACTCTTTCAATCTTTTTTTTTTTTACTATAATATCTTCTTATTTATTATTAATAAAAGAATGTTTTTGAATAATAGTTTAATATTCTGATATTAACATTGTTTATGAAAGTCTTTTACTATGAGTCTTCCTCTCATTTCAATCATTTTCTTTTTTCTCCTGAACTTTTACTTTGAGTCTTCCTCTTATTTCAATCATTTTCTTTTTTCTACTGATCTACTAAAAAAATTCATTGCTAAGTTAGTTAAATAAGCTAAGTGTCTTAACTTGTCAAATCCTGATATTTGATTCTGATGTCCTTAACATGTCAAATCCTTGATCCTGATTTCATATTCTCTACCTCTATATATTTTTTATCTGTCCATATATGAAATACTGTTGACATATTTGAACTGGTTCTTTAATAATGCTCTTTAGGCAAGGTCCATAAACCTATTTGAACTTTAGTGGGATCTATTTTAGCTGGTTTTGATTTTAGACTTAAACACAAAGTTACACAAAAGTTTTACTAATATTTTAGTTGAAAATAGATTTTTTAAATATGATATAAATAAATATTTTTATACTGTTATTAAGAATAAGTTTTCATACTTTTATTATGGTGAATCAGGTTTATATTATTATTTACAGAAGATTGTCGGATGGCTTGTAGAATTGAAGTTATCATAATATTTATTTTTTAATATTTTTATGTTTTCCAGGCATGTAATAGAACTGCTGAAAGAAAATTTCCATTGCAAGAACAATTAGTTGTTCCATTTCAGAGGATTTTAAAATATCCATTATTGCTAAGGGTTAGTATTTAGAATTTTAATATATATTTGTTCGTTTAAAAATTATATACAATTTAAACTATACAGAAAAATATACATATACATATGTATGTGTGTGTGTGTGTATATATATATATATGTGTGTGTGTGTGTGTGTGTGTGTGTGTGTGTGTGTGTGTGTGTGTGTGTGTGTGTGTGTGTGTGTGTGTGTGTGTGTGTGTGTGTGTGTGTGTGTGTGTGTGTGTAGTGATGCTGTTTTGTGCATAAACTATAAAAAAAGTGCTTGATGAACCAAGTCAGAGCTATAACATAGAAAAAAAAAAGGTGAATTTCACAACTTTAAGTTTCATGCAGTTGCAATCATCAGGTGAAATACAAATATAGTTTGTTTGTTTAAAAATTATATACAATTTAAACTATATAGAAAAAACCTATATGGAAAAAACTGTTACAACTGTGTGTATCTAATCTTCAAGTTTGTAATTGCTTAATAGAAATTTATTTTTGGGACGGAATTTGGAAATTACCTTTGTTTTTTTTATTAAGTAGCTCTTCAGCATTTTTATATAGTAAAATTATTTTAAATTATAAGTTTTTCATATAAACAAAATAAACAATTTTTTGTTGTATTGTTGTAATTCCTCCCAAATATTAGTTTTACTGTTTCATGCAATGCGCTAATAGCTTTAGCATAATTTTTTATTGGTTGATTTTTAAAATACCATGCAAATTTTTTGGACCTAAAATAATTATCATTTTTTTTTTATATAACTTTTTTTTATTTATAATCATTAAATTACCTTGTGTTTAAAAAAACAAGATTAATATAAATATATAAGTTTTTACTGTTATTATTTTTGCAGTAGTAAATTTATTGTTTTGTTTTTTTCATTAATTTTTGCAATATGACAAATTGATAGTTTCATTAAAACAGTATTCATGGTTTTTAATAAACTGAGAATTTAATGACCAGAAATATTTCCAGATATTGCAAATTGGGATCACTTGATTTAAGCCTTGCAAAATTTTTTAGTCTCCTATATCAAGAGAAGAAAGGAAAAGTTTGTAATAATGGTAACACTGAGATATTTTTATCTTTCTTAGATTCAAATTTTTTCTGAAGTTTTTCAGCAAGTTTTAGTTTGGGTTGTAAGGTTTACAGTGTTTTAAGATGTTCCACTTTATTGTATGTTTTATGGCCTTATCTTTCAAAATCAAAATCTCCTTAGATTGTTTTAAAATTTTTTAAATGATTCATGTATATTTGCTAGGGTGTTTCAAAAAAAGGTCAAATCTGAAAAAAGAAAAGAGTTTTTCATCTGCCTAGACCTTGATTTAGTACTAAAAAAAATATATTTTTTAATTTTTGCAAATCCTTCAGTGGGTAAAAATTTTTAGAGCGCTTAGTATCATTTTTAAAACAGTTTGTATTAAAATTAATATTTTTGAATTTTTTTATATTTATGTTTGTAAAGACTTGAAAGCTCTGCTCTCAGAAAGCTCTGCTCTCAAAAAAAGTTTTAAACTTGTAAAAAATTTTTCAAAAAACACTAAAATCCATAAATATTTAGTAAAACAACTAAATACAAAATATTTTTTCAATATTCTCAAAACTCATAAAAATACATTATATTATTCAAATATTTTATTCAAATTTATGATGGATTGAGTTATGGTATTAAAAGTCTTTAAATCCTTGGTGTAATATGAGGAATGCAGAAATCTCTTTTAAATTTAAATTATATGAAAAATTGCAAATTATATGAATCAGGAAAACAAGATGAAGTTAGCATATTCCAAAAAACAAATGTTTGAGGAAAAAACTAAATGAATAAGAATTTTTGAAGCACTTAGGAACAGTCACAGTAAAAGGATGAGACTTAATTTAATGACGAGTAACACGATAATGAATTTTAGTAGATGGCACTAAAGATGCTAGTTTTTTAGAGCAGCGCCCATTATGGTATTTATAGGAAAAAGAAAAAAAATATAACATTACAACAATGTGTTAATAGTTGAAGGTTAATTGCAAGAACAGTTTTGTTTTATATTGTTATTATATACTTTGATAAACTATGTTTGTCAAAGTATATAAAAACAACAATATAAAACGCAAATATATAAGCAAATATAATAACAATATAATCTCAAATTCATTTTTTTTTTGTTTCACTTTCACTTTCTCTATTTAACACTGAAAACTAATAACTTTGAGCTGTTTTTTTTTTGTTTCACTTTCACTTTCTCTATTTAACACTGAGACCTAATAACTTAATAAATTAATAACTTTGAGCTTGTTTCTTTTGCTTTGTTTTAACAAGGGTGTATAAAAACGTTTTTTCAGAGTTTTCAATAAATTTTAGTACACTCATGCCCTTATAATAAATAGTTTTAGTATGGCCATGTCCTTATAATAAATAGTTTTAGTACAGCCATGCCCTTATAATTAATTACTGATGCTAGTTGTTTCTAAAAACTCTATTTGTATAATTTCGACATAGATTTAAATTTTACTGATGTTAAAAATGGATGTCTGCAACCATCATGTTCAATGTATACTCAGTATAAAAATGTTGTGAAATTTATTACCTTTTCACTACCTTTTATTATTTATTATTATTTTAAATTTATTTTGTTCGTTTGTTTTGCTATTTGACTTCATTTTATTATTAAAGTTCTGAGTAGTTTTTATTTTAAAAAAACTTTGTTTTAGGATCTTAAAAAGCATACTCCATTGGATCATGATGAGAGAGCAGATGTTGAAAAAGCCTTTGATGCAGTTGATGTATGTTTATTAGAACAATGAGAAAATTACTTTCTGAATATTAGCCTGTTATGAATTAGCTTAACATTTAGGATATTGCCAAGTTTATTAACGAATACAAGAGAGATGCTGAAATGGTGAAACTCATTAGTCAAATAGAAGCAAGGTATATTTATATACAGTTTTTAATTATAAATATTGTTTAATTACAATTATTTTTTTATTTTTATTTTATAAAGTTTTTCAGGGCTCCACTCTTGTAATGGTTTCGGTTTCGATTTTTATTTATAGTTTCTACGCCATTTTCTTTTTTAAATTAGTTTTTTAAATAATAAAAGAATTAAAACAATTTTTCATTATTAGATGCTTTTTTTACATTTTTATTGTGAAAAATGACGACTGCTAGATAACCATAAACAATGTTTAGGAACTCATCTTACCCACTAGATACCCTCCATCTTACTGCTAGATAACCATAAACAATGTTTGGGAACTCATCTTACCCTCACCCAATGTTTGGGAACTCATCACCCTCACCCATAATTAAATTACGAGTTTTACTAGAGTTTCTCTTCTCCTTAAATAAGTTGCTCTCACCACTGCTAAAGAATCAATAAAGAATGTCATGACAGGACATTTTATTATAAATTTGTTAAAGCAAAATCTTAGATTCATTTTATTTTTTATTATACTATATGTTACCAGAAACCACTAACCACCATAACCATTATTTTACTTACCAGAAGTTTTATTTAATATACAAAACAAACAATCATGTTTGTACAAAACAAACAATCATGTTTGTTTTGTATAATTTTGTATTAAATATATTATGAATTTAGTTCAAAGGATTTGAAACTTACAGTTTTAACATTTTTGTAAGTAGTTATTAGCTACTTAAAATCTTCTGGTTTTTAATTTGACATAAAAATTGATTTTTATTCACTAAGTAATGATTTTTATTCACTAAGTAATGATTTTTATTTACTAAGTAGAAGTACTAAAATTGTTTCCCAGATCACCCTGGTGTTTAAATTTCCCCATACAACAATCTTGTTTAGTAAGGTTTGTATTTCAGAGCTGAAGGGTTGTAACAACAACAGAAAGTATACATAATTTCAGAGAGGATATGTTGCAACAACAAGAATAGATATCAATTTGCATTAATATTTTAATTTATATTTTATTATTATGATATAATTAATAAACAACAACAATAATTTTTTTTAACAATTAATATTTTTCAAATAATAATAAAAATGTTAGTTTTTTTGTGTTCATAATTGTTATAAAAATTTTTCTTATAAATAGCGTAAGTCTTTTGTGGAGGCATTCTTTGATGTAGAGATTAGCAGTCAAGGTCTTCTTTGATGTAGAGATCAGTTGTCAAGGTCTTCTTTGATGTAGAGATCAGCAGTCAAGGTCTTCTTTGAAGTAGAGATCTGCAGTCAAGGTCTTCTATGAAGTAGAGATCAGCAGTCAAGGTCTTCTTTGATGTAGAGATCAGCAGTCAAGGTCTTCTTTGAAGTAGAGATCAGCAGTCAAGGTCTTCTTTGAAGTAGAGATCAGCAGTCAAGATCTTCTTTGATGTAGAGATTAGCAGTCAAGATCTTCTTTGATGTAGAGATTAGCAGTCAAGGTCTTCTTTGATGTAGAGATTAGCAGTCAAGGTCTTCTTTGATGTAGAGATTAGCAGTCAAGATCTTTGTGACAAAACAAGAGGACTAAAAATTGCTTGCCACACAAGGAACTTGGATGCAAATTTTGATCATCCACAGATTTATCTTTGTTCTCATCCGCCTTGCAATGTGTTTTGTCCTCTTCAATTATGCACATACTTTTATCTGCCATTATAAAACATTTTGCAAATCATTGACTTGTTAACAAAAGTTTATCAACAGAATTAAATATAAAAAAGTTTATTTTTTTTAATTAAATTTTAATTATTATTAAATATATAATTAAATTTTAATTATTATTAAATATATAATTAAATTTATAATTTAATTAAAAAAATAAAAAAAATAAAAAGCATTTGTGGTTTTAGAGAAATCAAAATTTTAAGTTGACTGTAATTTTCCATTTCCACCTGATATATAGAGCAAATTTAATTTTATGTTGAAATTTATGATTTGTAAGAACTTTATTCAAAAATGTAAATATAGTACTCTATTTAAAAAAAACTCATTCACTCAAGTACACTTAAAAACTCATTAAAGTACACTTAAAAACTCATTAAAATACACTTAAAAACTCATTAAAATATACTTGAAAAAAACTCATATACGTACACTTAAAAAAAACTCATATATGTACACTTAAAAGTACAGTATGTATTTAATGATATTATCAGAATACACTAGTTTTTCCAAAACCATAGCTACTTCAGGCTTGGTATTGAGGTTGGCATACAGCAATGCTGACCTGTGTCTGAAGTTAGAAATTTTTAATCAAACTATTTTTTATTTTGTTGTAGTGAAAATATTACTTTTCTTAAGTAACCATGTTTTTTTTTTTTTTTTTTGAAATAAATTAAATTTGCTTTAATAAAGTTGATAAAATTGCTTTTTTATGAAATATTTAATTATAGAGGTGTAAAGGCTTTTTTGTTTATATTTGACAAATATATATTTTTTTATAATTATATAATAATTTTAAAATGGTATAATTCAAATTCCTAATAAATGTTTTGCAAATTTTCAAATGTTGATATTTAAAAGAAAAGTTGATATTGTTAAACATTCTCATTTTCACTGATTTGTCCAGTTCCGTTTTTAAATTTTGTTTTAAACTGTTGTTAACCTAAAACCATTTTAGGTTGCCACTTTTTTGCCAACCTATTTTCTAATTCCAAAGCCTGCTGCTGTGCTAAGATTTGGGTAATCAATTATTAAATTTTATATTTATTTTCAAAGTATTTTTTTTTTTCTTTACTAGTGTAAAGTATGATGTTCAATTACAAGGGGTAAGGAATATTCATTATAATTTTTTTTTAATTAAATAAACAATTGTTTGTTAACAAACAACCAAAAAAACTTTTATTTGTTACCATAGAAACAAGCAGTTAATTTGTTGCCATACCAAACACTATTGTTCTTTAGCAAACAAGTAAAAGTTGTTTTGTTATCATACAAATAAAAAGTTGCCTAAAAAGTTACCAAGCAAGCAACTGAATGTTTTTTCCAAAAATAATCTGTCTTTGTCAAATTAATTTTCTGACATTTAAATTCAAATTTTTTAATACATTTTTTATAGGCAAAGTTCAATCAGTATGGAAAGCATATAAAAAATGGTGACATTCAAGTCAAGTTTGACAGTAATGATAGAACAATATTAAAGTAAGAAAATAACGTAAAAAAAAAAAGGTTTGTTTTTGTTTTTGTTTGAGTTGTTTGGTTTAATTAAATTTATGAATAAAAGTGTTTTTTTTTTTTATTTTCTTCAAGTTAGTATGTAATAAACTTAATCATTATTTTTGTGTAAAATTTATTTATGATATCCTTAAGGTATTGTGTAAAATTCATTTATGAATTCCTTAAGGTATTGTGTTTTATATCCTAATTACAGGAAAAATTGCATTGCAATCATTCCTTTTCTTCTGTTTTTTTAAGGTTTTATTTTATAAATATTTTATTTGTCTAATTTCAATAAATTAGGTTGTTCATAAAGATAACATTTACAAAAAACAAATTGATCTAATGAGGCCTAACTATAACTTAGATAAATAATTTTAAACTGTTGGTTAAATGTCCTTAATTCTTTATTTGTTTCTTAATTTTATATTCTATAATAGAAATAATATTTTATACATTAAGTATATAGTTTTTTTTTTTAATTAAAAATGCAATTCATTTCAAGTTTAAAAATTTCAGTTATTATTTAAGGTTTGTTAATAATATAACAAATACACTAAAATTAAATCTTTTTACAAATTGTTATTTGTTTTCATTTTCACGCATTTCATATTCATATCTTAGAAACTAACATCTTTGAATAAACCTGAATACAATGACAAAGTATATATTGGCTAAAGTGGAAACTTTTTTAAAATTTACTATGCAAACTAATTAAAATTATTTCAACACCAATAAATATAAACACACTTTCCAAAGATGTATGGGGGTTATAAATAAGTAATAAAGTTCCATCTTTTAAATGGAAATCTATTAGATTTTGCTGACAAGACAACCAATTTTCGAAAGTTTGTCATCTTTGTTTAACTGAAAAAATTGAAATCTTATTTTATAAAGGCACAAACTCACTTTACAAGTGGGGCGAAATGGTCTCTATGCACAGACACAAAAAATTTATATTGTCCTCCTGCAGCAGCGGTGATTTGATAACCATGATTAAATATTAGATATTAGAACAGCAGTGATAACCATTATAATTTCTTTTTTATCTAACTCTGCTTTAGAGATGTCAGAAATCATTCCATTTTTTTGTAATTTTTTTAATCAACTTTTTATTTATTTTAAAATTATACTTTATGGCTTATGATTGCCTACAACGTATGAAACTTCATGTTATTTATTCATTTTAATTATATAATACTCTATTTTAAAATTTAAATTAAATTAATAAATTATTGAGTATTTTTCTACGATCAAGAAAAGTCCCATGTTTAGCAATACATTTACTAAAGAAATGGTATTACTGTTCACAATTTCTATTGATTTTATGTACAAACTTTTCCCTTTTACCTCATGGACATTGTCCATGTCCTTTTACCACTGGACAAATAAGAGGTCTGCTGATTAATGATAACAAGATCTTTATTGAGTTCTTTTATTCTACAATTCTCCAGTTTTTGAATTTAATACAAAATATGTCTCACTGTGTACCAAGATGTTTTCATATGGTCAGTATTTTTGTAGATTGTCTTTGTATTTTCTCAATAATCTTTATATCTTTCATTGTGTAAGTAACCACTGATTGCATATTTCAGGTTAGGTCTGAAATATGTTTTGTATAACTTTATCCATAACATCAAATCCCTTGGTAAAAATGTTTTTTTAACATATTAAGCTTTCTATTAGCTATATTACTAGCATGAATAACTTGAAGAAAATGTTTAGCATCTCTTGAAACAAATTTTTTTTTTTTATATCTGATTTTTCCAAATTGTAATATAAATAGTTATTGTATCTTAAAGTGATTTAAAGAGTTTGTGGTTGGGTTGTTTCTTCCCATATGCAAAACTTTACATTTTTCTAAGTTAAGCTTCATTAACCAAACTTTCTTCAATTCAGTGATTTTATTTAAATCAGTTTGAGTAATCAAGAATGCTTTTTACTCTTATCTCATTCATTAACATATCATCTGCATAGAGATTACTGACACGCTTTAAATTGTCATAGATGTAAATTATAAAGATTATTTTGCCCTAAACAAAGCCTTGTGGGACACCACTAGTACAATGAGCCCAGTCAGATATGTGTTCTCTAAGTACTTCTTTCTGTTTTATATTAGTGAGAAATCCTATAACCCATCCAAAGTCTCACAAGATATCAAAGGATTTCAGTATTTGGATTAGCTAGGTATAAGAAAGTGTGTCAAATGCTTTTAAAAAGTCCAGATATGTCAAACCTATTGCATTTTCGTTATTTTTTACAGCATTTTGTAGCATAATAATTGAATTCTATTGAGTTACACATGCATTGTTATTTACAAAACCATGTTGAGATTGAGATAATAAATTTAGTTTTACGAGTTTACAATGGGATTGGTTACTAACCTTTCTATTAATTTACATTGAATAAATGTAAAAGAAACTGGTGTAGAATTATTTGGTTTACTTTTATAATGTAGCGACATTTGCATTATGCCATACTTTATAATGTAGCGACATTTACATTACGCCATACTTTATAATGACACTTGCCATGAAGAAATTATTGTTCTGATAATGATTTGTCAATTGTGAGAAGTTTAACTTTAGTACATTGATATATTGCTTTAATATCAGTGAATGGACATTGTCCGGTCCAGTTCTTTTATTTAACTTTAAATTTTCTAAATTACTTAGATGTCATCATTAAAAAATGAAGACTTGATAAATGCTCAGTTGTACGATATGAAGTTAGTGAAAAGTCTATATTAACTAAATAGCTATTAAAGACTTGGTTATAATTGATCATTTAATGTGTCAGTAATAAATCTACTATCTGTCCTTGTGACTCCAAATTTATTTCGAATTAATTTGATGCTTTGTTTGATTTTATGTGAACTATTAGCATAACTGAACAAATGTTTGGGATTTTCTGTAAAAAATTCTAAACTTTTTTTTATTTGGAATAGAAATAAAAATAACTTTACATTAAGTTAGTTTTGTATTTATGTTTATACCAACTTTATAAATACAAATCTAACTCAATGTTTAAAATTAACTATATATTATTTTTAAAATGTTTTAAAATAAAATCATTAAAATGGAAACATGCAAATAACAAACAATTTAAATGCCGGGTACTATACTAATAATGTAATAATAATAAATTTTATGATACCAACTCATACCTTTTATTTAATAAGTTATCATAGGTGTAAGATATTATGACATATAGACATAGGTTTGTCTTTTCATTTAGACATAGGTTGCATCGTTTTATCATTGAATTGTAAGGTCTACAACATTTTACAATTTTCTATTCAATTGTCAGGTTTACTCCACTCTCTTTTAATCTCTTTACTTCCTTAGACAATTCAGTATATATACTGAATTGTCTATTCAATCTAGAATTAAGTATATATACTGAGTTGTTTAAAGAAGTATGGAGATATACTGAGTTGTTTAAAGAAGTATGGAGGTAAAAAGAAAATGGAATAAACCCAATAATTGAATGGAAAATTATAAAATGTTGTAGACAGTCCCACAGTAAAACAATGCAATCTTTGTCTATATGAAAAGTATGTCATAAAATCTTCTTTATTTTTTAATTTCAATTCAACTCCCAAAGGTCATGAAGGCCACTTAAGTCGAGGAGGCTACTTTAATTTGTGGTTACATCCTTCTCTTAACTCTATAACCAAAACACAAATCTTGACAAACAAGGCTGTTAGCTGAGAAACAAGTTGAGCGCTGTATTACCAGGGACATGGTAGGGATCAAACTCTAAACTCATGAGGCAAGCATTATATCCCTTTTTCATTAACTTTTAGCAAATGAATATTGATGTAGACACATGAAAGTTGATTTAAAATATACCTTTAGTACCAAAGTTAATATATTTAAGTCATTTTTATGCTTTCAAAAGATTTTCACATGATCAAAAAAGTGTTATTATAAAAATTTATTTATTTGGATATTTGGAATTTAGCATGAAAATGGAGCTAACATGTTCAAATTGTTGTTGGTCAAATTTTATACTTTATAAAATATATATATTTCAAGAAAATAACAAAAGAACTTTTGCTATTTTCACATCATGTAAGTTAACAAAAACATGATAAAGTTTTGTTTTTTCTAAAATTTAGTTAAAAAACTTAATTTTTTTAATAGTAGATGCGAAAGAATATTAAATAATAAGTTTTTATTGTTTAAAGTTTTGAATGCTTAGTTAGAGAACCTTTTTATTTTAAATTTGTGTAACGTAAGTTAAAATTACATGCATTTAATAAAGTGCTAGTGCTTTTTTGTTAGCAAAACGAGTTACATCATTAAGTAATACTTATTACTTAATGATGTTAACTTTTTATATTTAGAGAATTTAGAAAAAAATTTTTTTTTTTTTTAATGTTTTTTAAAATCATTTATTTTATTGTTTTTTTATTTGTTTATGTAATCTTATTTTGGTTTACATATAAATATACATAACACCGTGTGTCTGCGTAAAATGGAACCTCTACGAAAACACCCAAAAAAATGTATTGTGCTATTTTTTTACAAAATGTTTTTTTTAACTGGCCAAATGTTTTGTAGCTCTTTAAGGATATGGTTTAGGGACAACTTAAGATAAAGAGCTGGTGGTGGACTCTTAAGGATCAATAAGCTGTCATCAGGATCATCCTCATAAAAGAACGAAAGAAAGAGTTGCCACACAGTTAGTATACTCTTTTGCTTTGATTATTTTACCTCCAGAGGTTAGCCAATCTTCTTTGTGGTATTTAATATTCCTAAATATTCTGAGTGTAGCATCTGTCTGCCAGGCTTTATTTTTTTTTTGCTATTTGGAGACTTGCAGTATAAGCATGGATATTTTGATGCACATGACATTATTCCAGACACAATATTTAAGAGTTTTAGGTCATCAGTAAAGTATAAGATTGATTTGAGCCTTCTCTATGAATATCTTGCAGTTATGATATGTCTTTGGAATTTTTGAAGCTGATGCAATGA